GGAGGGTTCAAGTACCAGCAGCTGCTTTCCCTACTGTGGAAGTTTCTCCAATTCCCTCTGGCCAGCTCCAAGACCCGACCTGCGAGTTCATTTGATTCCCCCACCTTAAGGTCACCCCAAACATCTCCTGAAGCAGTTGTACCCAAGTATGGGCCCTGAACCAAAGAAAAGCTAAAATACAAGCTGATTTCCACTGATGGCTGCATTCAGGCCCATACATCCTGCTGCATCTATACAGAAGTTCCAAGAGGAGCCAGCCCCATGAAGTGCCAAACCATGGAGAAACCTGCAGGAGGCCCGGAGCAAGACAGCTGACTGCATGGCACCCACAGAAGCAGGCCTAAGAGCTGAAGCCAGAGGCTTTTGTCTCCCCCTGGAGGACTAGATGTGCTACAACAAGTCCAAGAGGGGCAAAGACAAATCTCCTGCTTGGAGCCCTCACAACCTCAGGAGTTTTCCTGTTTGAGTCATGCCCTTCCTCCCCAGTCATATGGCACATTACCTGAGCCACACTACAAACAGTGACGTCCTCAGGTACAGCATCAGAGAACAGATGCCTCTCTGCAGTATTCCTTCCGCAGCCCCCATTGCAGCCTGCCAGCGTGAGACTGTTCTTACAGATGAGTGGAACTAAATGGAGATGCTGTACCTGGGCTGGGCCGGGTTCCCAATGTCCAGCGCCTTTTCCCACCTCTAGTGACTCTGAGCCCTTGGAGTCCCCTCTGACTCCATGGATGGAAGCCTGAACAGGAAGAGAAGCTGCCAGTGTTGCTCAACTCCAAAGCCTAGCTTTCCTCTCTTCGTCCTGCTGCAGTTCAGGGGTGTGATCATGGGAGGGTGTGCCCCATACATTCCCATGAGTACCATGTGCACTAGTAGTGTACCCCAGTGCAGTGAACCCTGTTTCATAAAAAGAAACAGCTTGGAGATGGTAGGGGGACTGCCAATACTGATATTCAGGTCCTTGTCCCGACAGCTTCAGTTAGGGGTCACTGTCATCTGCCAAGTTTCCTTCTGCCTTGGGTATTGATTGTCTCATGGCATTGGGCTTCCTGGGCAGCAGACCAAGCTGCCCTAGTTTCTCTGGATTGTCTGTGTTCTCAGTCCCTCACTGTGACTTTCTCAGGTCTGAAGGTGGCCTGGGACATGATTTTAGGAATCTTGTTCTCTTTTCCTCCTGCATCCTATTGTTCCCATAGTTTCCTTGTTGCATGCCTGTCCCTGCTTTTTTCTCTCGATTAACAGAAATAAATCTTCTAAATCTCCATTGAAATCCATGGCAAGAAAAGGGACTGAACAGAAAAAAACGTTCCAGGACAGTCTCCACCAAGGAGATTGGACAAGTGCAGAAGAAAGGATACACAGAAAATTCCTGCGAGGCCTTTGCCTAGGAGCAAGTCTCTGCTGTATAATCTCTGAACTCCATGAAATTTTAATCATTCAAAAGACGCCAGAAGTTCATTCATGGAGGTGGAACATTAGAGAAGCAGATACCACTATAAATAGTGGGAAGCTGGAAGGCACCTGAAAGAAAACTGAACTTGAAAAATGAATACATTATTGGATGTGAGACATCATTTTTATGTGTAGTCACATGGACATGTGCACGGATACACATTGTTGGTGTGAGTTCATGTATGTGTATGCTTCATGGATGTGGAGAGGAAGGGTAGCTTTTAGTATCATCCTTCAGGTGCATCCACATTGACCCGTTCTCTTGAAAATAGATTCTTCTCTCATACAGTACATCCTGACCACAGATTCTCCTTCCTCCACTCCCTAAGCCTTTGACCTCCCGTGTCCCCCAGATCCCCTCTCCTCCATTTTCTGTTCAGAGAAGAGAAGGCCTCTAAGACAGAAGAGTCAGACAGGATATAACAAGATATAATAAACCTAGGCAAAAGCCATCATACAGATGATGGAAAAGACAGCCCAACAGGAGGAAAACATTCCCAAAAGCAGGTCAAACAGTTTTCCACTCATAGGAGCCCCATCAAGAACACCAAGCTAACAGCCACAACATTCACACAGAGGACCTCGTACAGACCCTTGCAGGCCCTATGCTTGCTGTTTTGGTCTCCGTGAGCTTATGTGAGCTATGCTTAGTTGATTCAATGAGCCATGTTCTCCTGGTTTCGTCCATCTTCTCTTAGAGTCCACAATCTTTGCAGACAGGGTTTCTTACAGGCCTCCTGCTGTGCTTCCTTCTCAGCTTGCTGTGCGATTTTGGAAATGTCACTTGACCTCTCTGTTTTATTCTCCCCATAATAAAGATAAGATGAGGGGAGGAAGGCATCATCCTTATTCCTGGCTACATGATACTAGTCAGGGCTTCAGCCAGGCTTGCTGCTCCATCCTCTAATAATCCTTGGCTATCTGACAAGGCTGGCCTTTACCTGTTCACTGGGTAGACCCTTTTAGCTCTCAAGCACAGCTACCCATACAGACTGAGGTAATTTGTGGGCTTTCTATGCGTTTCACTTCTGGAAACACCGGATGCAGGTGCAGTAAATAGGTCTATACACATCTGTCCACCGTAATCATGACCCTGCCTCTGTTGAAAACTCACCTGCCTTTGGTGATCAAGTGCTGTCTCTTGGCCCTTGTTACTCTAAAATCCAAGTAAATTCATTGCCTTTGACTTATTCTCTTGTGACCCCTGACTCCTCTTAGTCCCTCCCCTCAACCTGTCCCCCACTTTCTCTTCAGAAAAGGGCAGGCCTCCCATGTATATCACCAGCCATGGCATAACAACACTTTGATGTTTTCACAAGATGAGGTCACTTCTAAACAGTTCTCTCTGAAAAATGACAAAATGAGAATTTGCTGAAAGTGGGTCAAAATAGCAATTAAAAATGGAAGAGATTATACTGTGTACTTTCCTTACCTGCCTCCCCCACGGAGGTGGGCAAATGTAGTAACCACCAACTAGCCCTTCCCTTCCTCCGAGTTTCCGGTTCCTTATTTTGTCCTGGATTGGTCTGTTTTATGTGGAATGTTAGCTCCTTAGGCACACACAGCTGCTGCTGCCACTGCCCAGTGCTCATGTCCATGGTCTCCTGATGCTGCTCACACCCCCTTTCCCCAAGACCCTCTCCACAGACACCATGCCAGAATTGGTAGGCTAGTTGTCTTATCATACAAGTCTCAGGAGAGTTCTGTACAGGCACCTAGGAGGCTGCAGCAGAACGTGAAGCTAGAGAAGTACTGCCCATGAATGCTGCTGAGGCAGAGCCTTCCCTTGTTCTGCCAGGGACGTGTGACAGCTATGTGTTCCAATGACCGGTATGTGTTCCAGTGACTGCTACGTGTTCTAGTGACCACTATGTGTTCCAGTGACCACTATGTGTTCTAGTGACTGGTATGTGTTCTAGTGACCACTCTGTGTTCCAGTGACCACTGTGTGTTCCAGTGACCACTATGTGTTCCAGTGAACGCTGTGTGTTTCAGTGACCACTATGTGTTTCAGTGACCACTGTGTGTTCCAGTGACCACTATGTGTTCCAGTGACCGCTATGTGTTTCAGTGACCACTATGTGTTTCAGTGACCACTATGTGTTCTAGTGACTGGCATGTGTTCTAGTGACCACTGTGTGTTCCAGTGACCACTGTGTGTTCCAGTGAACGCTGTGTGTTCCAGTGACCACTATGTGTTCCAGTGACCACTATGTGTTCCAGTGACCACTATGTGTTCCAGTGACCACTATGTGTTCTAGTGACCACTATGTGTTCTAGTGACCACTATGTGTTCTAGTGACCACTGTGTGTTCCAGTTACCACTGTGTGTTCCAGTGACCACTATGTGTTCCAGTGAACGCTGTGTGTTCCAGTGACCACTATGTGTTCCAGTGACCGCTATATGTTTCAGTGACCACTATGTGTTTCAGTGACCACTATGTGTTCTAGTGACTGGCATGTGTTCTAGTGACCACTGTGTGTTCCAGTGACCACTGTGTGTTCCAGTGAACGCTGTGTGTTCCAGTGACCACTATGTGTTCCAGTGACCACTATGTGTTCCAGTGACCACTATGTGTTCCAGTGACCACTATGTGTTCTAGTGACCACTGTGTGTTCCAGTTACCACTGTGTGTTCCAGTGACCACTATGTGTTCCAGTGAACGCTGTGTGTTCCAGTGACCACTATGTGTTCCAGTGACCGCTATATGTTTCAGTGACCACTATGTGTTTCAGTGACCACTATGTGTTCTAGTGACTGGCATGTGTTCTAGTGACCACTGTGTGTTCCAGTGACCACTGTGTGTTCCAGTGAACGCTGTGTGTTCCAGTGACCACTATGTGTTCCAGTGACCACTATGTGTTCTAGTGACCACTATGTGTTCCAGTGACCACTGTGTGTTCCAGTGACCACTATGTGTTCCAGTGAACGCTGTGTGTTCCAGTGACCACTATGTGTTCCAGTGACCGCTATATGTTTCAGTGACCACTATGTGTTTCAGTGACCACTATGTGTTCTAGTGACTGGCATGTGTTCTAGTGACCACTGTGTGTTCCAGTGACCACTATGTGTTCCAGTGAACGCTGTGTGTTCCAGTGACCACTATGTGTTCCAGTGACCACTATGTGTTCCAGTGACCACTATGTGTTCTAGTGACCGGTATGTGTTCCAGTGACCACTGTGTGTTCCAGTGACCACTGTGTGTTCCAGTGACCACTATGTGTTCCAGTGAACGCTGTGTGTTCCAGTGACCACTATGTGTTCCAGTGACCGCTATATGTTCCAGTGACCACTCTGTGTTCCAGTGACCACTGTGTGTTGCAGTGACCACTCTGTGTTCCAGTGACAGCTGTGTGTTCCAGTGAACGCTATGTGTTCCAGTGACTGCAATGTGTTCCAGTGCCTGCTATGCACTCCAGTGACCGGTATGTGTATCTGCCCCTCACCTGCTCTGAGCGTCCTTCTGTACAAATTGTAATAAAACACATCCTTTTCTGTGGAGGGCACACACACAAGTTGTAAATGGATAAACTGTGCTTTATTGCTAATATAAGGGGAGAAAGATAGGAATGTCCTGGCCAGTATGGGCGACAAACTTCCTGCGACACCAGAGGAGCCCATCTCCCACTTGCTCCTGGAGAATGAAGATGTTCTTGGTCTCCACCAGAGTCTTCATGTCAAGGTTGTCCTTGATAGCAGGGGAATGCTTGTTTCTCAGTATTGCCCTCTGCCTCCTCCTAAGGTTAGCTCTCTTGTTGTTAAACCAGTCCTGAAATCCGAGGGAGAGAAAGGTTCGGTTAACATATTTAGCAGTTGCTGCTCTCATTTAACCCTATGAATCTCTTTTGAACCCACAATGCAGATTGTAAGTGCTCACATGCTTTGTATGGCTGACGCTACTGGTCAATGACCTGCCTAAGGTTTCATAGTTCCTGGTTTGTATGTCACTACCAGAAAAGCAAAGAAAAATTCATTACACACAATACCAAACCCTTTATTCTGCACACCCAATTAGAGTCATGTACCAAGGTCTATGTGCATAGGCTTACAGTTATTCTTTCAAAATTGTCCTTAGAAACAGCCTCCTGTATTCCAGGTGGTCATGAACTCCCTTTGTATTCTAGAACTGACTCCTCTGCCCTAGTGGGAACTTGGGGAAATATATTTCCTGGATATGAGATATAATAAAACCAGAAACTAAATTTAGAACCACCACTGTCTGAATCACCTTTTCAAAACCTTCTAAAAGAAACAAAGAAATTTATCCTCTTGAACATTAAGTTCTCTTTCCACATTTGTCTCACATGATAGGAAAATGCTTTAGTTTATGAAAATATATTTCATGGCTCAATTATCCCATTTCCCCTTTAGTTTGTCATTCATTCATTCTTTTACCAAGTGCACATGTTATGTATTACAACCAAGATATTCCCTGCAGCCACATGATCATTTCCAAGTCACCCTGAGTTTCAAAATGTTACACAACAGAAGACCCCTGTGAAGCACTCTTGTGTGTTACACGGAATCAAATGTTAATTATGCCACACACACATGCAAAATATATATGCAACATAGATACTATATACACACACATATATACATATTTATACATACATGAGACAGACAGACAGAGGTGTAGATGCTATATTTGGTTTTGCTTTTATTTTAGGATCACAAGTGACTGCCCCTCACGGAGTAACCATTAGCTAAAGTTTTCCTTTTCCATTTTTCATTTGCCAAGGTCTCGTATTCCAGATCTTTTTTTCCCAGCATAAGACACACAAGGAAAAAATACAGTAGTTTCATGTGCCTAGGGCAATGTCCATCCATGTCCAGAGGCAACTCTGAGATCAGCACTCTGGTAAACTAAATACTCAGGCTGACTGACCTTCACCTTCTGTTCATCCACATTCATGAGCTCTGCCAGTTCTCTTCTGTGAAGAGAAAAAAGACAAATATTTAATATTCCATCCTAGGCATGGAATTAACTATAATTAATATATTCCATGTATATTTTTAAAATTTAATATCTTGCTCTCCATACTTATTCTTTTAATTTTATATTTAAAACAATATTATTTTATATACAAATCCCAGTTCAGGCTTAGTTCTGTTGCAGCCTGCCTTCAGGAGGCCCTCCGCCTAGCCCAACCCAATCCCTCAGGGACTCAGTTTCCTGGTGCAGATGCAGAATAACTGTAGTTCTTCTCCACTGCCCCTCTCAGCTCAGCTCCATCCCTCTGTGACTCACCATTGAAGGGCAAAACAATTCTGCCAAGGACCCGCAGCCACCATTCTTGCTGAGACACAGCTACCCACAGCAGCTACACTTGACTAGGACCAAAGGACCCACCCAACAAATATGACACCAGATGTCTACACTAAGAAACACCTCAAACATCATAGCTTCAGATGTCTAGATCCCAGCGCCAAACACAAACATGAATCAATACAACATGCTTCCTCAAGATGTCAGCAACTCTATTGTGATAGGTTATAAGAAAAGTGATTTAGCTGAAGACAAGGACTTCAAGACACCAATTATTAATATGTTCAAATACCTTAAAGAAGATCCGAATAAATGTCAGAAAGACCACAAAAACTTGCCAAAAAAAACACACACAAGTAAAAACAATTCCAGACATGAAAGTAGAATTTAACAAAGAAATAGAATCACCAAAGAAAACCCAGGATGAAATAAAAAGAGAAGTGAAAAACTCAGGATGTCAAACAAAAACTTTATATGAAAGTCTCAACAACAGATTAAAAGACATGGAAGATAGAGTTTCACATCTTGAAGACAAGGTAGAAAGATGAATATCTTGATCAAAGAAAGTGTTAAATATTAAAAATAAATATCCAGGCATAATTAACCCAGGAAATCTGGGACAATATTTAAACACCATACCTATGAATAATAGGTATAGAGAAAGAGAAAAAGACATGCCAAAAGCACAAAAAGTATTTTCAATAAAATCATGAAAGAAAACTCACCCACTCTAAAGAAAGAGATGCTTATTAAGGTACAAGAAGCATACAGAACACCAAATAGACTGGAGCAGAAAAGAAAATACCTTTGCCACATAATTAAAACACTAAAGATATAGAACAAAGAAAGAATATTAAAAGCTTCAAGGGAAAAGGACCAAGTCACATGTAAAGATGGGCCCATTGGAGAGTGTGAATGCCGGAAGGAATTGGTTAGATGTTGTAGAAGCCCTAAGAGACCACAGATATCAGATCAGACTACCAGATCCAGCAAAACTACTAACCACAGTTAACAGAGAAAGAAAAAAAACATTTCAAGATAAAAACAAATTTGAGCAATTTCTGTCCACCCATACAGCTCTACAAAAGGCACTAGAAGGAAATTTCAGGCTGAAGAGAGAAAGTTAACTGAATCCAAGAGGACACAAGGAATAAATAATCTCACAATAGTTAATCAAATGATGGAAAAATGCTACACCATAACAAAATAACAGAAATCAATAAACACCAGTCATTAAAAACTATCTAATTTAATGGTCTATACTCTTTTTCACACACACCAGAAAACACAGACTGACAGATTTGGTAAGAAAATGGGATCCATCTTTGTGCTGCATTCAAGAAACGGCTCACCACCAAGGACAGCAAGGACAGATGTTACCTAGAGTAACAGGATGGGAAATGGCATTCCAAGCAAACAGAACCAAGATGCAAGCAGGTGTTGCTATTTTAATAACTGAGAGACTTCAAAACAAAACTAATCAGACAATATAAGAAAGAACACTATATATCCATTAAAGAAAAAATCCACCAAGAGAAAAAAATTACTATTATAGACATACACCCAGATACACTGAACCTAATAGAATAAAACAGAGAGGTCAAGTTATGTTTCCAAAATCACATAGCAAGCTGAGAAGGAAATACAGCAGGCCTGTAAGAAACCCTGTCTCAAAGAAAGTAATAAATAACCTTGAACTCATTGACACAGGAAAAGACCTTCTGAACAGATCACTAGTAGCACAGGCACTAAGACTAAAAGTTAATAAATGGGACCTCATGAAACTGAAAAGCTTCTGTAAGCTTCTGGACATCAAAGGACACCATCATCAGCACCACACTCCAGGGAAGGCCCCCTGCCCAGAGTAGTTGGCCAACACAAAAGATACTTTATGTTTTTGTTTTTTTTTTTTGTTTTTTGTTTTTTTGTGTGTGTGTGAACCTTTTGTTTTGTTCTGTTACTTTTTGTCTTGTTTTCTTTTTTAAGTTTCTCTTCTTTGATTTGGGTTTTGGTTTTGGTTTTGTTGTTTTTTTCTGTTTTTTATTCCCTTTGTTTTTGAGAAAGTTCATGAAGTGAAGGAGGATATGGGAGGAGTTGGGGGAGAGAAAGAATATGATTAAAATATATTGCATGAAAAATATTTTAATAAAAATGTAAATCATTGCTATCTCCCCTCACAGTTCTACAAGCAGACTTTTCAGCAACCTTTAGAAGGAGCTTTATCTAGAAGTGGTTTGAAGGGAATTGTAGGAGCAGTGGATCTAGGGGAGAGGGGGAGTCTGGGGAGGCTGAGAGTAGTGGAGGGAAGGGAAACTGTAGTATGAGAGAGAGAGAGAGTGGTGGTGGCACACACCTTTAATCCCAGCACTCGGGAGGCAGAGGCAGGTGGATCTCTGTGAGTTCAAGACCAGCCTAGTCTACAGAGAGAGTTCCAGGACAGACGGGGCTATTACACAGAGAAACCCTGTCTCGAAAATATATATAAACAAAAGAGAAAAGAAAATTTGTATGTGTCTATATTTGCCACATACAAATTATACATATTTTATGACATCAGGAATTGAACCTACAATCCCAGATATGCTAGGCAAGAGGTCTACCACTGAGCTGTATGGTTTTATATTTATATTTGTATTTATGTGTTTTTCAGTCTTATTTTGAAACAGAGTTTCACTAAGCTGCTTCTGCTGACCTTGAGCATCCTCCTGAGCCCTGCTAAACCTGGAAGTGTCCCTCTTTCTGGATCTCCCTCCCGTGTGGCTGAGGTTATAGATCTGTGCCACTAGGTACAGATAAATATGCAAAGTGACTGCCGAATGGTATGTTTGTGAGGGCACACAAGTCTTCATTCTTCTGGAGATTTGATCTCTGAAAATTTTTGCACACAAAAAGCAGGCCCCACACAGGCAATACAAATGAAATGATAAATGTGGATATTTAGCAGATTTTAGTATTTCTGTGTATTGAAAGAAATGATTCTGGGAAGAAAACATTACATGCAATCAGACAGCAAATTTGAACATCAATAACTCACCACAAAACACACCCAGACTTAGATAGGAGAAAAAGACCTTGCTAAAGACGTATTTGACCACGAACATAGGTCACGGTATCCATAAACACAGGGAAATTCGGGCAGCAGTAGTGAAAAGCAGTTCAAACCACACCCAGAAGGTCCTCACACTCAGAAGGTGGCTACTAACAACACCCACAGAATAAAGCGTGGTGAGTTCTAATTGAAGCAGGTTAGTTCAGGAAGGACAAATTCTGCCTGATTTTCCTTATATGAGGCCGTTAGAGGAATCACATAGAGAGGACAAATAAACAGGAGAGTGGTAGCTGGGGACTAGGGGTATGGAAAGGGCACTTATTTAATGGGTTCAGGTTTTGCTGTGGCGTCATAGAGAGACTCCCAGGGACCTATCCCCAAATCACTTGAGAAGACTTCAGTCTGCTGAGTTCTGACCTTCAGATTTGATTTAAGCAATGCCCTTTATGTTTCTATGTTTAATTTTGGACACTTTTTAAACAGAAAGGAACCAAAGGAGCGGTCAGTGAGCATTTTGGAGACCTGGTTTGCACCAGGATGCATGGAAAGTTCAACCTTGGTGACCCAAGAGGCATCCTCTTGAGGGACCAAGAGCTAGACCTGACCTGCAGACATACAGGGAAAGAGGCCTCAAACTAATAAGAGAGCAAACTTTCTGCTTCTCTCTCACCCTCTTTACCTGAGCCAAAGGCCTAGTGGGTATTTTCTCCTGCCATTGGCTAATTTTCCAGCCTGCTCATCTATGTTCAAGGTCTGTCCTAAACATGTTTCAGTTTATGAGAGGACTAGTCAGCTGAAAACTCCAGTTCTCCAAATGAAAACCATTTCATTTTCAGATTCCCCTTTCTACTTTGTGGGGAGTCTCTCTCTCTCTCTCTCTCTCTCTCTCTCTCTCTCTCTCTCTCTCTCTCTCTCTCTCTCNTCTCTCTCTCTCTCTCTCTCTCTCTCTCTCTCTCTCTCTCTCTCTCTCTCTCTCTCTCTCCTCACTGTGTGTCTGTGTGTGTTTCCTACTTCACTTTTAGTACTTTTAGTAAGTACCATTGCCGCCTGCTGTGCCTGGGATCTTTCCGCCTTTGAATTCTTTAATGGATGGAGGAAACAGATTTTACTCAGGACTTCTAGGCAACAACTCCCTCTAAACATCATCAAAGAGTCAGGTGAAGACTGTGGATTCAGGGCCAAGAATGGATAGGAAGTCAAGCCTGATGACACAAACCAGTAATCTCAGCTACTGAAGAAGCTGTGGCAGAAGGATTGATCACAACTTCAAGGACTGATTGGGCTACCAAGTCGGTTCAAGTCCAGCCTGTACAACTCAGACTCCGATTCAACAAAACTAAAAAAGAGGCTGTGGTCCCCTACAGGCAACCCAGCTCATGCAGGGAGCCTGAGACTCCTTTACAAAAAAGCCACCTCTGTCTGCTGCATGGGTCACCCTCAAGTTTCGCGGCTTTCTTCCTCAGAGTGAGGCCAATGCCCTTAGCTCGCCAGAGGGCGCACTCCTGTGGCTCCCACCAAGGCTCCCGTGCACTGAAGTTCGCTGAGGAGCTTGTAACTCAGTGGCAAAAAGCTATGCTTAGTATGAGTCTGTATTCTGAATCTCAAAAATATTAAAAACTTTTAACAAGAGTAAGGAGAGGCCAGGGGAGAGAAGAAGGAGCCCAAAGTCCTAAAGGACAGACCCGATACATACCGTCTGATGGCGTCTGGGTACTGAGTTTCTTCAAAGACTGCTCGCAGTTCCCACAGCTGTCCAGGCGTGAATATGTATGGTTTCTGGCGAATCTTGACTAATGGCTGTTCACTGGCTTCGATCATGTTCATGGCCATCTCCAGCTCTTGCTCAATGTCTTGGCTGTTACTCATATCCCAGTCCTGGTAGCTGTGGTCGTCTACAGAGCTCTCCTGGCCCTCACAGAACAGATTATTCAGGGCCTCTATGACTCCCTGGTCAAAGCTGCCACTGTTTATCGTGTAGGCCACTGTTTTCTCAGGTTCAGTCATTATTTCTTCCTCATAGAAGTTCACCCCGTAAAAGTCGTAGTCGAAATAGAAGTACTTGCGGGCCATGATCTGAGCGCATCAGAAAGTGCCCCCTTGTGGGTTCTGAAAGGGCTGTGCGCCTTGAAGCCCCGCCCCCCCCCCAGGAACTGTCTGGGATTTCCAGGCTAAAATTGTTACTCCAGACTGCTATCGCTGCTATTGGCTTTCAACTCACAACCCTGGGCGAGGCTCTAGTTTAGGCATACAAGGGGTGGAGTGTGGGCACAAACTTGTGCATGGAATAATGACAGTTGCAATAAGTAGTGTTGGGGAAAAAATTAAAAAAAAATAGAAATAAATAAAAAAGACTGCTTGAAGGAGAACGCTAGTTTTCTGACTTGCTGGAGAAACAGACCAGCAGTTGGTCCTGAGCTGAGGAGTTTCTTTTAGATCTAAGAGCAAATCTTGACGATGCTTGAGAATGCATTTTAAGGTGATTTAGAGGTGGAGGAAGGATATGAGTAAAAATAAGATAATTAAATAAACTATCATATTAGGACATAATTTTCACATTTTGATATGGCCCTAAATAAACCTTAATCTTTTTGTGCTACCTATTATTTGAAGCATCATTTTCATTGTTGGAAATTATGAAATCAAAATAATGATCAACTCTGAAAAATATTGGCTGATTTATTACATCCTGGAAAATCAAATTAGGCTATGATTTAATTATTTGTAAAAAGAACAAAAAAGTACATATGTGTAACTCTGAAGATTTATTTTTAATTTTAACAAATACTATAATCACATATATGTATGTACATGTTGTAGGGTAGCCACCAGAGACAATTGCTTAGACAGGAGTCTAAGTGTTTGCTACCCCAAACCCCAAACCTTTATCAGGGTGACATTTTAAACACAAAAACCATGTCTTGGGTTGACACACTTCAGTTAATAAGAAGAGTTAGCCAGAAGCAGAATTACAGGAGTCAAAAGGCAAGGCTAGTACATTTAGAGACTTTGCCAAAACTGTGGACTTTGATGGTTTAGGTCTTTGTTTTCATAGTGCCAGGTGTTGCCACCTGCATGCTGAGTTTTGCAACCTAAATGATACATTCATCATGGAGTCTAGGGTCCTACTAAGGTCTTGGCCCCCCTTATAGTTTTATACACAATCATTTCAAAATAAAAATTTTCATGATTTATTATTAGTAAGTATTCGATTTGTATACAAGTGTTTCATGCCTGTCTACCTTTGATGACATAAAATTTTAGGTCCAAAATGGGTCACAGTTTAAAATGTTTAGTGTTCTATGCAGCCTTTCAGAAGTGAAAGTTCTAGGACTCTTTTATGGATCAGACTTATCACCTTCAGCAGGGGCTGGGTATCCAGAGTTGTCTGCATCTATGTAAAGAGCCCCACAGTCGATAGATACACAGGGATTATGAGGGCTCATCACTACCTGATGGAGGAAGGTCATTGGTAATAAACAAGCTGCCTTGGCCCATTTTGATAGGCCATCCCTTAGGTGGGTGTTGTAGGCAGAACAGAATGCTGGGAGGAAGAGGAAGTGAGCTCAGACTCGACAGCTCTGCTTTCTGGAGCAGAGGGCATGCTCCCCTCTCCCGGGCAGAAGCACGCGATGAAGCAAGCTGCCAGGTCAGACATGCTGAATCTTTCTCGGTAAGACCGGTGCTACACAGTTTATTAGAGATGGGTTGATTGGGATATCAGAATTAGCCAGTAAGGGCTAGAGCTAATGGGCCAAGCAGTGTTTAAATGAATACAATTTGTGTGTTGTTATTTCGGGTGTAAAGCTAGCAGGTGGCTGGGGTGCTGGGGACGCAGCCCTGCCGCTCATATTACTACAACTGCCTACCACTCCTACTCCTGACTGCAGGGTGACTTCAGTCAAATCTTGCTAAAGCAACCTGGATGATACTACCTCACTATCTATGATCTGGACAGTGTCCACTGGTGACTCTTCACTAGCATTCTTTCTTGTGTCCCTATCTGACACAAGCGCCTAACTTGGCCTGAAATGACAAGACAGTCTGTAGAGTTGGTTACCAAACTCATAATCTGGGTTCTAGATTATGAAGCTTACTCTCACCATTTTTGTGTTTTTGTGCCTTGTGCCTTTTCTGTGCTTTTCTTCAGTCCACCCAGAGTGCTGGATAATAGCCATGGGCTTACTTTGAAATGTAATTTCAGGGAAGGAGGATTTACTCCTGACTCCTTGGCTAGATAGCTTTTCTGAAGTCTTCAGAGGCATTTCCCTTCTCTGGGACCCCTGTGATGGATGTTAACCTAAATGGATTGAGAATTACCTAGGAAGCACACCCCTGGGAGGCTGTGAGGGTATTCTATAGAGAATTACCCCTTGATATGGGTAACATGTTCCAACTGGAAATCAAGATATAATGAGGTTAAAGGAAAAGCATTCACTTCCTTTTTTCTGGGCAAGTCTATCAATTCTGCTCTGGCCTTGTCTGACAGACCATAGATTCTTCAGTATTCGAAAGCATACACAACACAAGACTTTCCAGAGACCTTTTAGATTTTCAGATTAGTGATGTGGGTTTTCACTCTGTATGCTATGATTACCATTAATGAATAAAGAAACTGCTTGGAACCTATAGCAGGACAAAACTTAGCTAGGTAGGGAAAACTAAGCTGAATGCTGGGAGAAAGAAGGGCTGGGAGAGAAGCCAGGGAGCCTCCACCGGAGACAAACTCTGGAATTTTACCCAGTAAGCCACAGCCTCATGGTGATACTAGAAATGGGTTAAATTAATAAATAAGAGTTAGCCAATTAGAAGCTAGAGCTAATGGGACAAGCAGTGATTTAAACTGTTTCTGTGTGATTATTTCGGGGCTAAGTGGTTGGGAATCAACAAGCGGCCTCCTGCTACAGATTAGAATTGCTGAGGGGTCCAGTTTCTTGGATATAGAAGCTGCTGAGTTTTCTGCCTCTCCAGTGTAAAGATAGCCTTTTATGGATTACTCTGTTTCTGCTCTGTAAGTCAATTTAGGAAGTTTTCTTTAGATCTGATCTGCTACTAGAGAAATAATTGCTAATTACAAATTTCTCTACCAGGCTTGATGGTGTCTGGAGTTGCATACCTAATTTGGGTATACTTAAATTAGCAAAATTTCTCTCCAGATAGTATGGAGATGAGTGATTTCTCATTGAAAAAAAACTGTTTAATGAAATACAGAAGACAAAACACTCCATACTATAGATTCACCACTGGGAGAGACAGAGGATTTAAGGATTGTATATACAACACATTTGAACATTTCTGAAAAAGTATTCCTAAGGTATATAAAGATGTTGGGTAGTTGTTTCTGGCAGGTCTAGATAAAGTAACAAAGAAAAGAATAAATGTAGAGAGATGCCTTTTCCTAGGTCCAAATTCGCATACACAATTTAATTCTATAGACAACCTCCATTCAGAAACCAGACCTAAAACTGTCCCCCCCCAAAAAAAAAGAAAAAGAAAAAGGAGAGAAAATAAAAAAGAAAGCCTTTATTGTGAGACTAGCTGACTTAGAATGTTATATTAATAAATTTCAGACTTGAAGGGGACAGGGAGTTGGCATCAGGACTATGATTGTAAACTGACGGGATTCTGTACGGTGGGGTAGAGATATAAGGGAGGACCCCAATGAGACCTAAGACACTGATGAAACCTGGGATACTGAACTGGTTGATTTCTCAAGATTTTATTTTATGAATGGAAGGAGTTTTTCTACATTTTCTGGGATGTACCCCCTTACCTGTACTCTGATAGTTCTATTCTTCTCACCGCTGGTGGAGGGCAATTCATCTTGTAGAGTCAATAGATATGGCCCTGCCACTCAGGAAGGAATTTTTCACCAATACAAGGCTGACGACCCTCAGGGCCAAATGTCACCACCCAGTTTTGCCCTCAGATATATAACTATACTGATATCTCAGGAGACCCATACAGGGGAGTTGTAGCCTTAAAGAAATTCTTGGATTTCTTAGGCATATGAGCAGAAGTCTTGGAAATATGTAAAAGGACTTTTGACAGTTGGATATTTTGGGAAACATAAAACCACACCAAGCTATATGCATGAATATGGTCCCTTGAACAGGAATTCTGAGCTTCATGCTGAAGTTTGCAGGTTTTTTTTTTCAGTTAAATTTAATTGAAATGTAGTTACTTTGTTGAAGGCGTAAGTCACAAACAATGCCACGGCAGTTTGGAATTATGATTAATAGGGTGGTATTTATTTAAAGTGGAAAAAATTTACAGATCACCGTCCCAGACAACAGCCCTCTGTGCAACCAGGAAGGGAGTCTAGTCGCCAGCGGAGCAGAAAGTGAAGAGAGCGAGCAGAGCGCTTTTTTAAAGGGAGAGAGACCACGCCCCAATTGGCTGGTATCTCAGCAGCTATTGGTTGGAGGAGCGGAAGGACCTCCCGCAACACTTAGTGTCTCCCATTCTTGTTCCTCTCTCATCCATTGAATGCCTCCACTCAACCTCTTTTCAAAAATTGTTGTTACATACTGGTGAATAAGTATATAAATACAACCTGCTGAGTCTATTTAGTGTTGCTTGTATGTATATGTATTTAGGGATGACTATTTGGTATTGGATAGCCAATTAACAGCCTCAATACTGCAGAAGACTAATTCTCCCTTTATCAGCCATTGATAATTACTTAAGGCTCTTCATTTAGGAGCGGAGTTTGGTAAGATTTCACCCATCTATATAGGGATGTCACTTGATGTTGGAATTTGAAAATGAAATTTTATTTATAGAGCAGTCTTGTTGAAATTTCATGGGTATAGCTTCCTTTTCATAGTTAGAAGACACAATCTCACAACAGACTTCCAGATCTTCTGGATTTTACAGTCTTTCTGTCCCCTATTCCTCCATATTTCCCAAGCCTTAAGTATTGCAGATGTGTAAGTTTGGGATGGGCACCACATGGTGAGTTATTATCTGCAATTTGATCAGTTGTGGCTTTATTTAATGATTTCCTGATGATAATTATTTCCTGATGCCAAAAGTTATGTCTTTGCTGATGGGTGAGATCTACCCTTACC